CAAGTTATAACACAATTTTCATACATTGATGCAGGCTCACTATTTGGCAAGATCAAATTAATGCTTACTACTCATTAATTTTATTAATGAGTTACTATTATTTATAACTGGTTAAAGAAGCCTTAATGTAGAGTGTAAAACACATCACCATTTATTAATGAGTTACTATAAGGCTCATTTTACCAGTTATAAATGGTAGTAACTCATTAATAAATGATGATGTGTTTTACACTTCTACTAGTCATAAATATTTGTCACTGATAAATAAATGGTTGTAAAATGAGATGAAGAAACATGAAGATGATGGAGGGAGAATCACAGAGATGTGAACAGTGGGACAAAGAATTGATGAGCAGTTCACCAGGTGAAAGAAGGTTCACACCTGTGTTCTAGTTGGAATGCTAAAGTCCTAAAGGATAGACCAACCAGCAAAAAGCATCTCCATGAGAATCTCCACTGAGCAGACCAATCTGATCAACAGCTGTGATTAGAATAAGGATGGCTGCTGAGAGCATGTCAAGGTAAACAACACAGCCATGGCCTTAGATGATGAAAGCTTCTTCTCAAAAGTTGATGTTGCTCCAAAGAGGTCACGGTGGAGATATGTCAAGAAATAAAGGAATCAATAATGTGTGTAGACGAAGCCATGGATACACACACAGAAACACATCCTGTATATGTGCGTTATGTTCACCAGATACTGACATCACTGCTTGAAGAAACCGGATGGCTGTAGTGCAGCAGTGGTCACAAATGCAGTTGAGCAGGTTCTTGTGTCCACCAACATTGCTGACCTGAAATTTGTTACCTAACTCTGGACCTGGTCAACACCTGGAAGGCCATTCCTGAGGCTTGTGGTTGTTTTGACCAGCTTGACAACCTCTACTCATACTCACTCAACCACGACCAGTTTGCTGCTATAAGAAAGTGCTCCACATTGAGCAGGGGGAGCTTGTGCAAATATCCATCACCTGATGGTCATGTCAGGTGTGCTCTGTTGATCTACTCCTGAAGAATTTTCCTGCTGTCACAGGTGGCAGAAGACATCTATGCCATGACAAAGCCAACATGTGAGGAGAGCAACATCCAGGAGCTCTGAGAACAAGGATGGAGGACTTTGTTGTGGAGGTCCTGGGGTCCAGCTTGGACCTGATCAATGATTCAGAACATCTCAAGCAGAGGCTCCTCTACCCCTCCATCAATCTAATGACCACTGACCTGGAGAGATATGATATGAGATCATGATATCCAGGCAAGTCCTGACCTCTGAAACCTCCCTGTAACTGCCATCAGAGATAGTCATACAATTTAAGTTCATTTAATAATTTAAGTTAAAAATTAGAATAATTTTATGTTTGGATAAAAATATTTATTTCGTTTATTAACATGATTATTAGTTAGAATACACATAAAACATACATGATAAAGAGCTGTGTAATATTTGATAGCGGAACAAATGTTCTTTGGGTCGTTGTGGGTTAGGTTTTTGGTTAATTGCGCACTGAGCAGGAGCACGGATGAAAAGGGTTCGGTTCTTCAGAGAGGATGGAAAGAGGTTGCTCACTGTATTAAGTGTATGAAGCTGAATGAAGACTGAAAAGGCTCGAGGTTCATTTTCTTACCCCCTTTAGTTCACGCGGCCAATGAGGTATGCAAGTCTATTTTATTGCTGTATGTTTGTAAGTATTGAGTTCACGTGATAACTGCATGTTACCTTACCGAAGCTTCAATGCTAATTATTCATTATTTAAGTGGCTTTCGTCTTCAAGTTAAATAATTATGAAAGATTTCCCCCTGGGGGAAATTCATGTGTCCATTAGCGTGTTAGTGTACTGTTCATGGTGCCACCAGTTACACAAACAGGGGAAGGTCATTGCACTTTTATACTCTAGTTTCAAAACTACAGGGAAAACCTACAGAGTGTCCCATAACCATAGAAACAGACTTGCTCTCCCACTCCTCAAGATAGATAGCTAGATAGATAGATACTTTATTTATCCCCTAGGGGAAATTAATGTTTCCATTAGCTCATTGTTGATAATTATAATAATAATAATAATAATAATAATAACAGGTAATAATAAATTAACAATAATAATTAGATTAGTCCATTTCCTTTGGCCAAGGTGTTGTATAGCCTGATGGTGGGAACAAAGGATCTCCTGAACCTCTCTGTTCTGCAGCGCAGTGAGATGAGACGTTTGCTGCAGCTGTAGGGTCTTCATGAAGGGGCAGAGACTAACTGAAGTCCTATACTTTACATATCCACGAGTCCATGAGGGTCCACTAGGGTCTATGGTGCAAGTTTTGTGTGTGAGTTGAAAAACAAACATGGATGCTAAGTTTGCAGAGAAGCTGTGAGGAGGTCCACCACAACCCTCTGTATGTGTGGAATACGTAAATGACAATCTACTGTGCATGTCCGGAACATGTCCTCCAGGTGGAGGGTAAATGAAAAACAACTATTTGTGCATGGTGTCTGCAGCGAGTGTTAATGAGGCCTAGGGTGTGCTTTAGTCCACATGATGTAAACATTGTCAACTAATCACGTCCTTGGGGGTCCATTTGGACTTCTGTGTGGATATCCTCATATTTGTGTCCAAACAGACTGTACGCAGACTGTAGGAAGTGTGCGACTGCTCTATAGAACAGCATGGAGTCTTGTTTGGAGGGGGTTCGGGTTCATTTATATTTTTCTTCTCTGAAATAAGACAGATAGCAGAATTGCTCCTGAACTCCTGGTACTGTTCTTCTTCTGCTCCTATAAGTCCAGTCGTTGTCTTGGTTAAGTCTGTGTATAAAATAAACTGATGAATGAGATTATCTAATCATCAGAACAAAACATGAGGAACTTGGGTCTGTTTGTATATACTGACTGCATCCTCTGCCTGAGGAAAGGAGAGAGGAGGAGTGAGATGAACAGAAGAGACACTGGACAGGTGAAGAAGAGGAGACTGACTCAGACAGACACTCAGTTGATGTTGTTTGTCACAGGTTACACAGGGTCACAGGAAGCAGCTGAGAGACCAGGTGAGTTTTCAGAACTGATTTGATCAGAATGTTTCATCACTGTCCATGCTCTAATTTATTTTTCAGGGCTTTACTCCTGCTGCTGTAATGTGAGACTTCTCTCACTTTGCTATCTGTTGATAAGGCCTGTGCACCTGACTGAACCCTCTGGCAGAGCTCAGTGTCTAACCTGTTCCTCTGACTCTTGAAAACGCTGCAGGTATCAGTTATCATGAGGACTTCAGGGCTGGGCCCCCAGTGCTTCAGGATCCTAACAACGCCTCTGCTTATCTCAACCCCCACCCCACCCCACCCCCATCCCTGTCCAGAGTGTGCGTGTGGTGCAGCACTCCTCTCATAAGCCTCCTCCTTCCTCCATCAGCTCACAGTCATTCAGGAACTCTTGTCAGGACTCTACTGGTTCACTTGATACGAGCAGTGGGACTTTGCTCCAGTCATGGTTCGGGTTTCTTGGCCCGTGTTTGTGCTGCTGCTGTTGGTGGTGAGTACAGAAGGGGTTTCCTGTGTCTTTCAGCTGTTCCAGTCTGAACTGTGTCTGTGGTTCATGTTGTATGATAGTGTGTGAGGAGAGACATAGTATCTGTTTTTAATAGTTCATGTTTCTAAACAGACATGTTAGCATTAAAAGAAGAGGTGAGGGCAGTGTACTGTCCTGGAGGCAGATTCCTTCACCTTAATGCTATGTTCAGGTGTGTTTACTCCCTTGCTTTATAGCAAATCCCTGGCTGCCATAGCAACACAGAACAGATGGTGGCCGTGCTGTTGTTCAGAAACATGGCACAACTTCTTTCTTTTCTCATCATAACTAATGAAAGTGTGTTCACATGAGCGGCCTCCATATCTATGACTGTGTACAGCCTCTATACGTATATATGACTGTATACAGCCTCTCCCTCTCTCTCTCTCACTATATATGTATATATATATATATATATATATATTTATATATAAATGTGTGTGTGTGTGTATAATTAGAATACCACTTTTTTCACAAGCAAGTCATGGCTCCTGTCATGTCAGGCCCCAGGGAGCCAGGTCTTTCAGAGAGGCAGACTGCTGGAAATCTGTTGTCACGTTTAAATGAAATGATAATGAGAGGAGAAAACTCACCTTTATTCTCATAACATCACTCAGTGGACTAATTCACAGACTATAATTCATAACTAAGTGTTACTGACCAAACAGTTCATCAGGAGTGCAGAGGCTAAACCGGTTAATTGTCTGGGATTAACCTGATCACTGCCATATTCTTCTGTTTCTGTCCGTACCGCCTGGTGGGGACTTCAATCAAGTCCTCACTCAGACTGGACAGATTACTGTTGTCACTGTAGATTCAGGACAACATGAGATCATTTATGTGTGAATAATTAAACAAAGGAGATAAAGTATAGTAAAAACCCTAGTTACAATGTCTAACATGAATAATGAAGATAATGTGGGTTTTGTAAATGGACTTCTACAGCTCTGGTCTAGTTTTTACACCACTCAGAGTGCCACACACACACACACACACACACACACACACACACACACACACNCAGACACTCAGTTGATGTTGTTTGTCACAGGTTACACAGGTTACACTGAAGCAGCTGAGAGACCAGGTGAGTTTTCAGAACTGATTTGATCAGAATGTTTCATCACTGTCCATGCTCTAATTTATTTTTCAGGGCTTTACTCCTGCTGCTGTAATGTGAGACTTCTCTCACTTTGCTATCTGTTGATAAGGCCTGTGCACCTGACTGAACCCTCTGGCAGAGCTCAGTGTCTAACCTGTTCCTCTGACTCTTGAAAACGCTGCAGGTATCAGTTATCATGAGGACTTCAGGGCTGGGCCCCCAGTGCTTCAGGATCCTAACAACGCCTCTGCTTATCTCAACCCCCACCCCACCCCACCCCCATCCCTGTCCAGAGTGTGCGTGTGGTGCAGCACTCCTCTCATAAGCCTCCTCCTTCCTCCATCAGCTCACAGTCATTCAGGAACTCTTGTCAGGACTCTACTGGTTCACTTGATACGAGCAGTGGGACTTTGCTCCAGTCATGGTTCGGGTTTCTTGGCCCGTGTTTGTGCTGCTGCTGTTGGTGGTGAGTACAGAAGGGGTTTCCTGTGTCTTTCAGCTGTTCCAGTCTGAACTGTGTCTGTGGTTCATGTTGTATGATAGTGTGTGAGGAGAGACATAGTATCTGTTTTTAATAGTTCATGTTTCTAAACAGACATGTTAGCATTAAAAGAAGAGGTGAGGGCAGTGTACTGTCCTGGAGGCAGATTCCTTCACCTTAATGCTATGTTCAGGTGTGTTTACTCCCTTGCTTTATAGCAAATCCCTGGCTGCCATAGCAACACAGAACAGATGGTGGCCGTGCTGTTGTTCAGAAACATGGCACAACTTCTTTCTTTTCTCATCATAACTAATGAAAGTGTGTTCACATGAGCGGCCTCCATATCTATGACTGTGTACAGCCTCTATACGTATATATGACTGTATACAGCCTCTCCCTCTCTCTCTCTCACTATATATGTATATATATATATATATATATATATTTATATATAAATGTGTGTGTGTGTGTATAATTAGAATACCACTTTTTTCACAAGCAAGTCATGGCTCCTGTCATGTCAGGCCCCAGGGAGCCAGGTCTTTCAGAGAGGCAGACTGCTGGAAATCTGTTGTCACGTTTAAATGAAATGATAATGAGAGGAGAAAACTCACCTTTATTCTCATAACATCACTCAGTGGACTAATTCACAGACTATAATTCATAACTAAGTGTTACTGACCAAACAGTTCATCAGGAGTGCAGAGGCTAAACCGGTTAATTGTCTGGGATTAACCTGATCACTGCCATATTCTTCTGTTTCTGTCCGTACCGCCTGGTGGGGACTTCAATCAAGTCCTCACTCAGACTGGACAGATTACTGTTGTCACTGTAGATTCAGGACAACATGAGATCATTTATGTGTGAATAATTAAACAAAGGAGATAAAGTATAGTAAAAACCCTAGTTACAATGTCTAACATGAATAATGAAGATAATGTGGGTTTTGTAAATGGACTTCTACAGCTCTGGTCTAGTTTTTACACCACTCAGAGTGCCACACACACACACACACACACACACACACACACACACACACACACACTGATGGGGCCCATCAGGGCAGTCTGTTGTTCAGTACCTTGCCCAATGACTGGAGGAGCTGGGGATCGAACCACTAACCTTGTGATTGGTGGATGACCCGTTCTGCCTCCTGAGTCCTGAGTTTTTCATATACATACCTGGCGAGAAAGGTTTTCTCTCACCTGCCACTCCTTTCTCAGGAAATCTGTCAGAGCTCCTCTGTTATTCTGCCCTGCCCAGACCCACATGTCCAGGGAGTGGCAGGGTGTGGCAGCTTCTCCTCCGAACACAAGCAGCTACAGTACCTGACAGGTGGATGGTTTTACACAGGTATCTGCACTTGGCAGAGAAATGACAAAAATGTTAACAAGCTGCAGCTAAAGAGATGTAGCTCCGTCCCTGGCTCAGAGAGGATAGACTTCAGCCTGACACTAAAACATGAGATACAGTCTGTGTAACAGCAGCAGAAACATACAGCTCAGGCCAGCCTGGCTCCTGCAGCTCAGCTCTTCTCACACTAACCATCACATCGTGGTCACTTGTTTTCTTCCTCCTGCAGCAACAAAGAATAGTCTAGAGTCAGTATTTAGTAAAGTCAGTCCCACTGTCCCTCACATTGACAGGTCAGATTTCAGCCAGACAGGAAGTGAAGGATCTCACTCCATCTTCATTTACATGAATGGAGGAGTAAATGTCAGACCTCCTCTCAGAACTGTACAGACTGTTCACCTGATGTGACGCTGACTGTCCTATGTTTGTTTTGTTCTTGTTCAAACCTCACAGATTTCATTCTTCTGACTTTTATGCAACTTTTAAGCACACAGCTCCACCAGCTTCAAACTGGGTGGAGCTCTGTGTTCAGGGGCTGGTTTCACAAAGACAGACTTTGACTGTGTCTTAGATAGAACAAACAGTCAGACTGCAGATAGACTGAGTCTTAATTTATTTGTTGCACAAAGCAGTTTAGTTCTTGACTATAGCTGGACTGTGGTACAAAGAATTCTGGGTAAATTAAGACCTTTTTCAATATAAAAAAAATGGCTGACCAAGGAACTGCATCCAACTGCTGAGCTCCATTTGCCTCAGCAGAAAACGTTTGTCTTCAGGAAGAATTCAACAGTTACAAGAAAGTTTTACTTGAAGAGTGAAACAATAAAAAGAAAATTCTGATTTGGTATAAAAACTCTTCACCTGCTCATCACTCTCTCCATAACAATGTTAACAAACCACAGCCATGATTATCAGCCATGTTTTCCTGTTTCTTGTTGCTGGGTGCTACTGGTCAGCACAGGTGTCATTGATAACCATGTTACCATGGTAACATTGGTCTTAAGCCTTAGTTAGCCTGAGGGTAAGGTGTCTAATGTTTTTGACTTAAAATTAGTCAGTCTTTACTTTTGTGAAACAGTCTGACTAACATCAGAATTAATTATGACCAACATTAAGACTTGACCAACACTATAGACCAATCTGAGATATCTTTTATCTATAATACCTGTAGTAAACAAGTCAGAAGAGCTGAGAGCATTGCTGTCCATCACATGATAATCATTTAAATGTCAGTTTAAATGGTACCTGCCATTTTACACTGACTTAGACAAAACAGCATAATTTAGGGTAGTAGTTAAAATGACCGTCAGTTGACAATGAAGAGATGCTCAAGATATGACAGAAATATGACAGTGGCTCAGCTGGATAAAGTACTGACACATTGCAGAGTCTTACACAGTCTGTTTCAATTTAACCCAGTTACTACAGGAGGATGAAAAGAGTCAGACATGAGCATTGTAGTAGATGAAGCTCATGGAAATTAGAGAGATCCCAAACCAAATAATTCAAATAATCAAACAATAAATATGAATCAGACTTTATAGAGTGATGAGCCACGTTGACTTGACTGTTATGTTATATAAAAAAAGAGAAGTTTTTTTTTCATACAGTATTTCTGAAAAATGAAAATTTATTGAGATTTCTTCTACACCTGAGATTCACCTGGCAGGTAAAGGTTTATATTGAGGTAATGACATGTGTTGTGGTCCAGATGCAGGCTGTTGCTGTGGTGAGCTTCAACTCTGGAGACAACCTGGTGAGAAAGAGAAGAGAGTGGATTCTGCCTCCAAAGCCTTTGACGGAGAACGTAGATTACACTCAACAGGAATCAGTTGCCAGGGTGAGTCACTGATCTCCCACCAACTCTGACACATCACCAACTGAAAGACGCTGATAGATGTTATTTACATAATTTAGTTTTATTTCTATTTATTTATTTTGGCATTGATAATACTGCAGGCACAAATAGTATGAGTAGCACAGTAGCCAAGGAATTCAGTATGAGTTCTGTGTGAAGTGTCTGCTCTGAGATGAGCTGCTGTTTTAACATGTGTCACCTCCACATGCCTCAGCCCAACATGAACTGAAACCTTTAACGTACATGATTAGACAAGGACAAGACTGTCATCATTTATAAAACTCTAAACAGGTATATGAAAAACGTCTCATTTATGATTATGAATATGTCTGCCTCTAATAAAAGCTGACTGCTTCTCAGTAATCTTAAGTGCTCATGTTGGTAAATTCACACTCAGACACAGGCACTACTTCTCTTATATGTATTCAAAACACTTGAACACTGAATTTGTTTATCAAATCTTATATGATACTCCATGGGTGGACTTCACACCCACATGTGAAAAGGTGAAGGAAACTGAGGAACTGAGGATGTGGGTTAATTCTCCATTTTGAGTGGGCTGAGGACCAACACAAAGTATACTTAACCCTCAGGTTTAGAGCCCTATTAAACCAGCACAAAGACAGATAATAAAAAATTTAATCAGAAGAGCAGCTCCTCCAATAGATCATTCAGAAAATGCACTGCATAACAGGTCTCATCTTAGATTAACAATATGGCAAAATACCCACTACTCTTCACATACATATCTGGTTACATGTTCACAAATATCAGCTCAACTAGACCTTAGTAGTGTGTGTTTCGGCCATTTGGATGACCAAATAATAAATAACCATCACCAGCCACTGGGGGGGTGGGGCCACTGGAACAGACAAAGAAGGGGCTGTCTTATCATAGACATCATGGATCTACAGGGTGTTGTGGTACAAATAATGATCTCATCTTCTGCTTTGTGTTTCAGATTCGATCGGATTTTGAAAATGATGTAAATATTCGCTACTCCCTGGAAGGCATTGGTGCGAACCAAGATCCCTTCCATGTATTTGTTGTTGACCCTAAAACTGGACTAATTCGTGTGACCAAAGTGCTTGACAGGGAGGTCATTGATACATACAATGTGAGTGATCTGTGGCAGATTGGACTCTATTTTGCTGTACTTTATAACTTTGATGTCACATTTCCTGATTCATTAATTGCTGCTTTTAATATTTAATATTGAGATATTAAAATTGCGGCTGTTTGTGAATATACCTGTGAAGACAGAGTGTAGAGGTGACAAGAGCTGAATTTTTCTATTCTGCTGTTTCAGCTGTCAGGTATTGCTACGTTCAGTGATGGCACACATGCAGAGAAAAAAATTGACATACGAATTAAGGTTGTAGACGAGAATGACAACGCTCCGGTGTTTGGAACCGTCCAGGAGGGGGAGGTGAATGAGCTCAGTGCTACAGGTTAGTGTTTCTGTTTCTATGAACAAATCCCCATCCTAATATGTCATGGCAAAGTAATCCTTCATGGCTTCATTGTGAATAAAGCAAATCATTATGGTTTTAAATCTGTAGGTTTTCTGTTTTCTTATCTCTGTCTACTAAGCAGTTTTAAGGTCACCGACACCCTGTGTGTGTGCAAGAAAAGTGGGGAAGGACAGTGAAACTTTAAATGGTCTTGATCATTAAAGGTGCAGATAAAACAAAGTGTATGGAAAATATACCTTTTTACTGTAGTCACTGAGAGGCTGCCAGATGAAAAGAGAGTGCACATACCATACAATGCTTCTCTGCAAACAAGCTTTGAACACAGCCTTGTGTTAAATGTGATGAGTTGAGCTTGCACTCTGGGGCTACGCACAACATTTGTTTAAATTACCTTTGAACTAAATCATACAGGTTCAGATTTTTGACAAATGATGAATCTATCAGTGCTCTGCATGCATTCACATGTACCTGTATCTTCAAAATGGGCTTGTATCTTCTTATGAAAAACTGAATGATTCTCTTCCTTCTTTCTTTATCATGTTTTGACACAAACACCATTCACAGATTCAAAATATTAACAGATCAAGGAGTTCTCTGGCTTAATACCAAGCCTCTTAATTATTTCCAGGGGGAATTCCTGTTGAACATACCAAAGGAGCTCAAAATGTACAGGAAATCATAATGATTAATCTATCTGTAAAGGTTCATACAGTGTGTAAATATATTTATCAACTGATACAAAAGCAGCTAGCAGCTTTGGAAAACAAGTTTACATCACTTGAGATTCTGGGGACAATGGAGAAAGTTATATAACACTGATGTCAAACTGTTTTCTGAGCTGTTGCTGAGTCTGTTGCTTCTGACCCACAACACCAGCCAGGGTGAAATTAAATGCATCCAGTTTTTTTGGTTTCAGAGAACATCAGACTGGATATAGAAGGCTGTACCTACATGAACTGTTCAGTTTAATGACCGTTTCATTTCATTGTGTTTTTACAGATACTTCAGTTATGAAAGTCTTTGCAACTGATGCTGATGAACCAGGGCATGAGAACTCTCAGATCGCCTACAGCATCATAGATCAGAATCCACCCCATGACATGTTCTACATTCAATCTGATGGGACCATCTATGTGAAAAAGTCTTCGCTGGACAGAGAGGTATAGTATCAACTACAGCAACAATGTTTTCTTTGTCAGCATAGTCAGATGAGACAGTGTTTGACTTTACACACAAAAACATTTTCATTGGATCAAATCATAGTTGTGTGAGTTACTTTACATTTTTCATTTTGTAATGATTTCTCATTTCAGACAGCAGATCTCTACACTCTTACAGTGAAAGGTCAAGACCTCAATGGCAAACCAGGCGGAAACAGTGAAACTGGCACTGTTACCATTAAGGTCAGAGATGTGAATGACAACCTTCCCACTCTGGAAAAGGACGAGGTAGATTTCATTCTCAGAGTTTTTTCATTTGATGAGAAAAGAAAATATAAATGTGGTGTAACAGATGATAATCAACAAATCTTGCTGAAATTAACCCTGTTACTTTCCTCTCAATGTGTTTTACTTGCAGTATGAGGCCAGTATTGAGGAGAACACTGAGGGTGTAGAGGTGATGAGACTCAAAACAGAAGACCTGGACCTGAAGGGCACAGAAAACTGGGAAGCTGTGTTTGATATTGCCAAAGGCAACGAGGCTGGGTACTTCAGCATTAGAACCGACCCTGTCACCAACGAGGGTATCCTAATGCTCGACAAGGTACTGCAGCTTTAATTTAGAAGAAATATGTTAGGGTTATTATGTGATGGGGTAACTGTGGTAAATGCAGTGATCATGCTCAATACACAAAGACTCAAAGAAATTAGTTTGAAAGGAGTTGGTGTAGACATGACTGAAAAAAGAAAAAGATTGAATGTTTACATGTGTAGTAGTAGTAGTAGTAGTAATAATAATAATAGTTTTATGGTTGAACTTGAACCACAAACCATTTGACCACAACCCTTGCATTACACTAAATTAATCACATATGTAAGCTGCACACCCACACACTCACTACTACTGACTGGGAAGGTATAGTGAACCACCTCATCCTGCTGTCTGCACTGTCAGATATGGGCATCTCAGGGCAAAGTGCTTTCTTGGTTTGGGTCCTGCAAGGACCCACTGTCATGTCTTACATGTAAGGCACAAGGGATTGGTGCAAAAAATGTTTTAATAACAAAGAAGTGACGACTTACAAAACACTGGTGAACCAACTGAACAGAAGCCAAAACACAGAGAAACACAGGGGATAACAACAGCCGACACAGAGGACCATTACAGCAGATGAACTGACCCAGACAAAGGGGAGCACAGAGACTAAATAGACACAAGGGAGGCAAGGGTGACAGAACACAGGTGAAACACATTAGGGCGGGGCAGACAATCACCAAACAGGGAAACAGGACAAAGACAGGAAGTACAAACATCAACAGACAAGGAAACTGACTACAAAATAAAAAAGGAAGTGACAAAAATCCAGACAGTGGACAGATAGGAAAATAATCGGGCAAGGGAAGGAGCCTGGGATCACAGGGGCAGAGCAGGAGAGCATCAATCAATGCTCAGGGCAAAACAGGGCAACTTGGGAGGACGGCCCAGAGGCAATGCGGACAGGCTGGGCAGTTCAGTGGGGCGACCCGGAGGTCTGGCAAACGAACGGAACTGTTTTGGAGGCGACGGCGAAGACCACCTCTCTCCGGACGTCGAGCCGGAGGACAGCATCGCATTGGGAGCCCCTCTGGAAGGCAAGCAGGAGGCCCGCAAGCAGGCGGAGCCCCTGTGTTGGGCGACCAGGAGTTGACTGGGTTGGTGACTGTGGAACAGGGGCAGGTGGTGGCCGAACCGCCCACTGGGGAACAGGAACAGGCTTCGGCTGGACTGCGACTGGACCCGAGGACCAGGAGTCAGCCAGACTGCCGATAGGAAATCAGGAGCTGGAGTTGGCTGGACCGCCGACAGGACACAAGGAACAGGACTCAGCCAGACCACTGACTCGGAATGAGGAGCCAGCTGGGCTGCTGACGAAACATGGGTAGCAGGTGTAATGTGGACTGGGACCCCCGACACTGGAACTGGTGATGTGTCAGCCAGGGCCCGCGATGCAGGAACAGATGAGATGTTGCCCAGAACCACCAACTCAGGAACAAGGGAGACACCGACCGGGACCCCTTACACTGAAACAGCTGATGCATCAGCTAGTATGGTCAACTCAGGAAAGTACAGCAAATGCTCTGGATAGCTAGGGCTGTCACTCGGGCTGGAAGCTGGAGACCTGGGACTCTGGCTTGGGGTGGAAGCTGGGGACCTGGGCTTGGTTTCCCTGTGGTGATGGGACCCATGATGTCCTCACCTTCTGTGGCAACCATGGAACCTCGGAAAATTACCCAGACAAGTGCCCTTGAAAGGGCACTCAGGGTCCTCCAGGTCAGATTCAGGGTCAGCCAGCATGCAAAGGGGATGTGACGACCTACAGGGTTGCTGGCTGGGAAAAGATCTGGGCCTGTTTCTCTGACATATCCACATGTATGAAGGAACACCACCTTCAGCTTAACCTCTCTAAGACTGAGATCTTAGTCATCCCGGCCAAACAGTCTCTCCAACACAATATCAATATCAAAATCACCCCAACCAAGGTCCCAAGAAACCTGGGTGTCATGTTTGATTCCCACACTTTGGACAATCAGGCTTTTTGCATGAAGTGATAGTATTGTGTCTAGGTGTATTAGACGCCATTATGGATGGGGATGAATGTAAATAGTATGACGCATTGATGCATTCCACACAAACTGACACAATTGAAACATGTCACCCCAGTTCTATAGCATCGTTTTTCTCATTTAAAAATCAACAATATGTTTAATTTTATAGGTGATCTTAGGCACATGACTGAAACATTGTGGATATACATAAAATCCATCCCTCATTTGACTGGATTTTTTGAGCCTGTATTGACGAATACAGACAAACAGACAGGCAGCAAAACTGTAAATAATAATGTGTGTTCTTTGTGTTTGTGTGTGCCATTTCACAGGCTGTGGATTATGAGGATGTAAAGGACCTTGAACTGGGACTAACTTTGAGAAACAAGGCTGAACCATTTGGATCTGGGTCAAATGGCAACATTGGTATGAACTTCGGAGGGGGAACAAGTGGTGCAAGTGGTGCAAGTGGTGCAAGTGGTGCAAGTGGTGCAAGTGGTGCAAGTGGTGCAGGAGGTGGATCTGGAGGATCATCATGGCAAAGTGGGACCACATTTAAAACCTATCCGATCAAAATCAATGTGAAGAACCAGCCTGAGGGGCCACGTTTTGACCCCAAAGTCAAAAATATTCCCATCTCAGAGGGAGGCCACACCATCAACATTAAAGATGTTATTGCCCGCTACGCTGCAATAGATGGAGACACTGGGAAACTAGCTGAGAATGTCAGGTAAGTGCATACGCAAACATACACATGAAAGCCTCTATGGTTAAAACTACATGTCAGCTTTGTTTCCTACACTCAATAAGAATAACTGACACAGTACATTTCTTCTTTAGGTATGCCAAAGGCTCAGACCCTGACAACTGGCTAACCATCGACACAAAGACAGCTGAGATCAAACTGAACAAGATGCCTGACAGAGAATCTCCGTACATTGTCAATGGGACATACTTTGCTCAAGTACTTTGCATTACAGAAGGTACAGTCTTCCAACATATATCTGCTCCAGCTACAGATAATTTACATGTAAAACTTGTAGCCTTCTCTTAGTGAAAAGTAGATGTGGATGTGAAGTTTGAACTCTGCCAGCAGCTTGTACAGGCTACAGTGTTAAAATCAAACAAGAACACTGACAGTTTTTGCCAATCACACAGCCTTGACAATATTGGAGTTGAAATTGAAATGTAAATTTAATATGCTAGATACAGGAAGTGGAAAAATGCAAGTCACATAAACACATAACTGCTATCTAGCTTCATCTAATATCTATACAGAAAGACTACAGAAGTCAAACTCACAACAATGAAAGAGGAGAAAATCTGCATCATCTTCAGTCTGAACACGTCATTAGCAGGACAACCAGTTGTGTACACCTGTTGTCAAGCAGCAGGGAGAGTGAAGCGTTTGTCTCTGAACTTGTGTCTGAAGAAAGGAAAGGTATAAGGAACATGCTGAATGATCTATTCTTATTTGTGATTTTTTAACACAGACATGCCCGGTAAAACAGCCACTGGCACCATAGCCATCCAGGTGGAAGATTTTAATGACCACTGCCCCACCCTGACCAGTGATATCCAGACTATGTGTACCACAGATGATGCCGTTATTGTGAATGCCAAAGATGAGGATGGATTCCCCAACGGACCTCCTTTTGACTTCGCCATTGTCCCAGAAGGCACTGAGGGCAAGTGGCAGGTGGAGCATCTCAATGGTAAGGAGAATACTGCTGCCATCTGTATGTGAGAGAAAAGCAGCAAGTGTTTAGTAGCTTGAGATCATGAGCTTGCAGAAGTTCCAGAACCTTTTTTTACCTTTGGAGTAAGGCATATTGATTTTCAACATTTTTCTTATGTTTGTTGTGGGCAGACACTGCAGCTAACCTGAGGACCCAGGATTCCATGTGGCCTGGTTTCTATGAAGTGGAATTTTTAGTGAAGGACAAGCAGGGACACGCCTGTCCAGAACCACAGAAAGTGACAGTCCAAGTTTGTACCTGTGAGGATGGAGTGGTGTGTGGAAAACGAGGTGCCAATGGTCAGTCCAGCGAAGGAGCAGAATTAGGACCTGCAGGCATTGGACTGCTATTCCTGGGGCTGCTGCTGTTAGCACGTAAGTATAATGTGATGTTCATTCTGATAAAGGGTTGTGTGATAAAACACTTAACACATTCACTGTGTTCATAACTATCCGGAGACAGGCTGAGTTGAGGTTAAGTCCAGTTTAGGCCAAAGGTAGGATCGGAGCCAATTACTCAAAACTGAGACCAACACTAGGTCATAGACAGCACATGTGTCTTTCGACATGTGGCATAATACTTCCCTTGTTACAAATTGAGTTTTTTTAGGATAAACACAAGAAACTTGTGCTGTAAAAACTGGACCAGACTCAGTGAATAATTCCCTAAGCCCTATGATAACTATTAATTCAGCTACACAGACTAATGAGCAGTGATAACTAACATGTCTTTGGGGTCATCAGGTGGGAACCTCCTTTCACCAGTGTTTCGTCTAGTTGGTCCCACGACACCTCCAGGAGGCTAGACAGTGATCACTGGCGTCCCAGAGTCACTCCCCTAATGCCAGCCATCACTGCTCCTCACACCACAACTATTTTCTCCTTTACCTTGCCTATGCTACCACACACAACATCATCAACTAGGACAAAACACACCAGCAGATTCAGCAAACAAACTCCCCTAACGAGTTGGAGAAAATGGCGGCCATTTTGAATGAGGGAGGTAGAGTCAGGGAGAGGTGCCTGTTTGGGCTAGCTCTCCCCCACCGGGTTAGGCTGTGCTCTACCTCCCCCTACTCCCCCACTCTCCAACAACTCACCTAAAACAAACAAACTCGCCTAGACAGTCAGAGACACACTACAGACCAATTCAGAGCAATACAAACAAACCAACTCACCTGAACTAACCGCATGGTCTCAAAGAGGCTCACACAGGCCACACCCTCCACTTAAAAACACTTCCTCTTCCTGGATTTTCTTCCTTGCTTCTCCTAAGAGTCTGTCTATCCTAAGTGCTCCCCCTGCTGGGCCCCCAGCTACCATTACTTCTTCTAATCCAAATCCACTGACTGGATCTTGCTGCCTCATCTGACATGTCTTTTACTATTTTCCTCACACTCTGTCCACTTGCTCCTAGCTCCCTTACCAAAGAGACAACAGACCTTGCTACAAATCCTCTACATCCTACTTCTACTGGACAAATCCTAACTTTCCATCCTCGCTGCTCTGCTTCTGCCCCTAACTCTGCATACCTGAGCTTTTTCCTTTCATATGCTTCTTCAACTGAAGCCTCCCATGGAACAGTCAACTCTATGAAATATACTTTCATTCTACTCCTAGACCACAAGACTATGTCAGGCCTTAACTTTGTACTGGCTATTTCCTGGGGAACAACAAGCTTTCCTCCTAAATCTACCTGCATTTCCCAATCACAAGCATCCTCTAAGCTGCCTTGCCTCCTTGCTGTCTTACCAACTTTCTCTCCCTCTTGAACAAACTTTATTGCAACTCTCTTTGTTTTAGACCCTCCTAAATTTGCCTGCCTCCGTAGGTCTTCTATTCCTGCAGCTAAGCTTTTTAAAACCTGGTTATGTCGCCACGTGTACCGGCCTTGCGACAGACTAACCTTACAGCCTGACAAAATGTGCTTTAGAGTTGCCGTACCTGAACACAATGCACATAGCGGGTCTCCATTTACCCAGAGTTTTAGGTTCTGGGGAGTTGGCAATACATCATATGTTGCCCCTATCAAGAATCTAATGCTACTTTCCTCCATACTCCACAGCTCTTTCCAGCTAAGCTTTTTCTTATCTACACCTTCCCAATTTAACCACTGTCCCTGCTTAGCCTGAGCCACTGCCTTTGCACCCCTTAATATCTCCTCCTGTCTACGAACCTGTTCCACCACTAGCTTTCTCTTTTCCTTGGGACCTGCTCTACTCCACACCGGTTTGCCTGGGCCAAGCCCCAAGCCTCCCCGGCCTATTTGGACATTACCCACAATCTCTGTATGCCTGAGCGTTGCTTCTGCCTCCTGCACTGCCATTCTTGGATTCCACTTTCTCCCCTTGATTGGGTTTGGAACCACCTTACTGACTACCACATCTTTACTCCCAGATAACAGGAGCTCTGTCCTAACCTTAGTACATTTAAACTCCTCCACCAGACTAGTGACTGGGAGCTGAAGTATGCCTTTCCCATACAGTGCCACCGTACTTAAGCATCTAGGAACACCTAGCCACTTCCTAATGTAAAAGCTAACTAATCTTTCCATTTTTTCTGCAGCAGATAATGGAATCTCATAAACAGACATTGGCCACATCAGTCTGGGAAATAATCCGAACTGCAAACACCACAACTTCAATTTTCCTGGAAGCCCTGATTTATCTATTCTATCCAGTCCCTCGGCAACATCTTTCCGAAACTGCACTACCTGTTCTCCGTCCTTCAAGTCTGCCTTGTACCACCTACCTAGACTCTTTACTGATTTTTCCCTAATTATTGGAATTTCCTCTTCGTCTATTACAAACTTCCTATCACTTAGCTTCCCTCTACTTAATGAGATACTTCTAGACTTACTAGGCTTAATTTTCATACTAGCCCACTTTAAGTTTTTATTAAGTCTCTCAAGTACTCTTTTCATACATGGCACCGTTGTAGTTATCAACGTCATGTCATCCATGTAGGCCCTAATTGGTGTAAGGCGCATCCCATCCTGCCGCCTCTCTCCACCTACAACCCACTTAGAAGCCCTAATGATTACCTCCATCGCCATTGTGAATGCCAATGGAGAAATCGTGCACCCTGCCATAATGCCTATTTCTAGCCTCTGCCACCCTGTCGTAAAGCCTGCTGTACTTACGCATAGTTTAATGTCTTGGAAATACGACCTTACTAAATTAACCACTACTCCAGGCACTCTAAAATAATCAAACGCCTCCCAAATAAGGCTATGTGGCACTGAACCAAACGCATTTGCTAGATCCAAAAATATGACATGCAAGTCTCTTTTCTCTGTCTTGGCTGCCTGAATCTGATGCCAAATCATGCTAGTGTGCTCTATACACCCTGCGAAACCTGGTATTCCTGCCTTCTGTACTGCAGTATCTATTAGGCTATTCCTTTCTAAATAACTAGCTAATCTCCGTGCGACTATGCTAAAGAAGATCTTCCCCTCCACATTAAGTAGCGAGATCATGCGAAACTGACTCAGGTCTGAGGATTCCTTCTCCTTAGGAATAAAAACACCTCCTGCCCTACGCCATGCTCTAGGAATAACCTGTTTCTCCCAAACTATTCTTAATTGCCTCCACAAAAACTTTAGGATATCAGGTGCGCTTTTATAAACCCGGTAGGGGACTCCATTTGGCCCTGGGGCCGAAGAAGCCTTTGCACGCCTGACTACCTCCTCAACCTCCTTCCACCTGGGTGGTCTAACATCCATCTCATGAACTATCTGTCCTAATGGTGGCATGTCAGGTGGGAGGCCTACTACTTTATTCTGCTCCAAGTCTGAATACGTGTTTCTTAAATACTTTTGCACTTCTAACTTTGTTGCTTTAAGCTGCCCTCCCTTTTCCTGGTTAAACAATCCTTTAACAAACTTGAAGGGGTCCCTGTAAAACGCTGTCCTTACATATTCTTTCTTCTTTCTCTTTTTCCTAAGATATTCAGCCCTTCTAAGTACTGCTAGCCTGCCTCTCAAATCTTCTTGCAACACGTCGATTCCCCCCCTCTCTTCCTCTGTTGCCCTTTTCCACTGCTTTCTTAATTGTCTTCTTTCCTTAACTAATTTCTCCATTTCCCTTTGTCGTCTAGACTTAACTAGCTGTACTCTTTCAACTCTCTTTCTGTCTTGCACCCCAAATCTTTCTGCACCATAAGAGTAGATTATATCTCCCATCTTCTCTAGTCTATCGCTTGCATTTCCTCCTAGTCTGCTTAAAATTAATGACAAATCTCTATTGACTGACTCCCATTCTTTCTTGCTATTTGCCCTCGGCCATTTAACTCTAGTTTTCTGCTCCATATTTCTCTCTCTGACTGGCCTATTCACCTCAGTCTCAGCTGCATCCCCTCTTGTCGTCTCCTCTTCCCCCTCTGTAGCTGTGTTGTTGATATCCTTCGAACTGTGGCTTTCTACCTGTCGCTGGACTTCATCCGACTTATTCGATTGACTTCTTAGAAAGTATCGATCGATGCGGCCACACTGCCTTTCCTTTGCAACACATCTCTTTCTTCCTTGATGCATTCTAAGGCCTCTAACTGATGTTACTTTCTGCCATCCACAAGGACAAATCTGGAGCTTGTTTCCCTCTAATCTAACATTTTTATTCTCTCCAGCTACGCTCATGTCACCCTGAGAACTATTCTGCCCAGTTCTAATCCTAGAGAATAGGTCCGTGCCCCTATCCTTCACTGAGTCGCATATCCGAGTCATAGTCATGTCCGTTCCAGTGTCTGTTGCCGTGTAGTCTGCCTGTGGGTCATCTTCCACCCCTGCTCTCGCTGACCCTTGGGGTATTTTCCTTATAACTGACGTAGCTTATGCTGGCTGTGACAAAGATGCTAGGCCTCGCCACTGCTACCATGGATTGCTAGCCCATGGCAGCACCCTTGGGGTCTTTGCCTCCTGTCAGCTGTCTATCCAGGCTGTCACATGGTCTTTCCCTTGTTGTCAGCTTCCCTATTCACAGCAGTCACTAGCTAGGCTAGCTTTGAATTTAGGATAAACACAAGAAACTTGTGCTGTAAAAACTGGACCAGACTCAGTGAATAACTCCCTAAGCCCTATGATAACTATTAATTCAGCTACACAGACTAATGAGCAGTGATAACTAACATGTCTTTGGGGTCATCAGGTGGGAACCTCCTTTCACCAGTGTTTCGTCTAGTTGGTCCCACGACACCTCCAGGAGGCTAGACAGTGATCACTGGCGTCCCAGAGTCACTCCCCTAATGCCAGCCATCACTGCTCCTCACACCACAACTATTTTCTCCTTTACCTTGCCTATGCTACCACACACAACATCATCAACTAGGACAAAACACACCAGCAGATTCAGCAAACAAACTCCCCTAACGAGTTGGAGAAAATGGCGGCCATTTTGAATGAGGGAGGTAGAGTCAGGGAGAGGTGCCTGTTTGGGCTAGCTCTCCCCCGCCAGGTTAGGCTGTGCTCTACCTCCCCTACTCCCCCACTCTCCAACAACTCACCTAAAACAAACAAACTCGCCTAGACAGTCAGAGACACACTACAAACCAATTCAGAGCAATACAAACAAACCAACTCACCTGAACTAACCGCATGGTCTCAAAGAGGCTCACACAGGCCACACCCTCCACTTAAAAACACTTCCTATTCCTGGATTTTCTTCCTTGCTTCTCCTAAGTGAGAGAAACATGAGTGAGATCTGACTTTAAATTGACAGAAAATTAAGACAAAGCCAAGGATGTCTGAGATGTTATCTAATAAATGCCTCAACAGTAAGATTCAAGCCTGATATGAGCTCATCACAGATGTATGTCCACATATATGTTGATGATAAAAGAAAAGATGTCTCCAAACCTCAATAAAGCCTGCAGAGTTGCACTCTGTGAATGGCCTTGTAAAGTATATCCTACTGAGACTCTGCAATTCCTTTTTGTCCTCTGTGAGGGACATGAGTCTGAGACCTCTAAGTCAATCACCATTCATGCAATCTAAGTCCTGTTGTCCTGTCAAGAGGACATCCTGGGCTTTCTAATGATGCTACAGTACATGGGGGGGTGTGGCTCACAGAGCACATGGACTTGCTTTTCAAAATGGTGGAGCAGCTTCCTCTTTTTATATCAACAGGGAAGATAAATGAAGAATTTTTCACAGATTATATGCAGATTATATTTCTGTTGCCATTAAACAAATTGTTTCTTCAGTATGAGTTTTGACTTCAATTCAGTAAAATTTCAGAAATGTACAGTAATTTTAACCCTTTCAAAACATAACTTTTCTTCGATATCCTTTGTATTGGACAGTAGGACTTGCTTACTCTCATTTTTTAACCAATTTCATGACTTCAGGGAGCGGAGAGAAGCAGAAAAGATTAACGTTGTCAGGTGATGAGGTGGAGGAGGGACAGTCTCACAGTGCTCTGGGGAACTTTTACCCCTGGAAAAGTTCCTTGTTGCTAGTAGTACTTCTGGTGGAAAAGCAACTTAAAATCAGCAAATATGTGACCACACCCTCACATTTTACCTGGCATAAAGATGGCCACAGAGGTTCAGCACTTTACTGAACTATGGCACAAAATAATGTGTTCTTGTAGGATCGAATCACTTGTGTGTAGAAGAAGCTGACTGATAGAACAAGTTTTTCTTTCTAAATGCTTCAACAACCACAAGCAACCAGTGGTTGCAGTGGAAAAATTAATTAGATCACAGTCTCTAACAGCTAAACTCTGAGATTGCTCTACTAATAGATGGTTGGTCACGCCAGCAGGTGGAAGTAAATTTTGAAAACATATTCAAGAGAGCAGTGCCTCAGTCAAGTCAAAAATGTCAGACATTAAAACATGCACCATTTACATCTACTCATTTAGTGATTTTATCCAAAGTGACTTACAAGTGAGGGACAACACTAAATCTTTGGCACAATAGCATTAGTAATTTACACAAGAAGGGCTATAGAAAGACCTGGTGTTGTTAATAAAGAACTACATGGGTGCCTATTACAACATATTGTGCCAGGCAAACACGTTACACTTTGGGAGACACTAAGTTAGACTAAAACTGTTGTTTTTACAGTCATTCCTCTGTTGCTGCTCTTCTGCCAATGTGGGGGGGCTGCGGGTCTGCCAGGGGGCTTTACTGAGATGCCTTTCGACACCAAATCACACCTCATTAACTACCGCACTGAGGGCCAGGGAGAGAACACGGTAAGACCAACATATTTAAATTTTGAACACATGACCTCCACTGGTGAGGACTGGAATACTGGCGTACACGCTGGTCATTTGCATAGGGCTGTCACGATACTAGAATGTCAAACTCAATACCAATACACAGGAAAATACTCGATACTCGATACCATTTTCGATACCACGTGGGTGAAAAAATGACAAGAAATTATGATGCATAAATTTTTTTTTAATAAAGATTAGAACAATACAAACAATAATATCAATGACAACACTACTTTTAGGTTGTTTGAGGAGGTGCAACAAAAAAATGTATTCAGCTACAGCCCTGTTTATTGTCTGTGCTTCTCGTGACTTGCCACCATGTTTTGGTTGCTGATCAAATACAGTTGTTGGGTAGGCTGCCGCTGTTTCTGTCTAGTTGCTGGTTGAATTTTCTCAGCTTCAATCTGGGACTTTAAGAGAAATATAACACTTTTCAGACACAAATAACTGTGTTATCCTGTTAAATTAACACTGTGTATTAATGTTACAGACAGGCAGGACTGATAATGTTTGCTGCCTAGCTTCCACATTAACGTTAGTCGTTTTATTATTAGCCATAGCTGCTAGCTTAGTGATAACTTAGCAGATGTCTAATGTGGCTATCAGCTAATTACTAATAGTTAAACGGCTCATATTAACGTGTGCTGTCGGCCAGTTTAAATAATAATGCAAAGTAATTCCAATGGCAATTTTGCTTTTTTCATTTTCAACTAAAACAGGTTGTGATGGTCCTTCAGCAGCAGCGCTTGCCATGTTAATGTAGTTTTATGCTGGTGACAACAGCTCAGTGTTGTGAATGTCAACTAGCGTTCATGTGTTCAGCTGCTAGTGAGAGGAGGGGCTGTGTGCCTGCCTGTCTGCAGTGGTGCTGTATGAAGTGTCAACTGGAGGAGGCAAAGAGTGCACTGTTGGTATTGATACTGTTGCAAATGAGTATCTATTCCGATACTAATTTTTAGTATCAATTAGTATCTGAGTTTAGATTTTTTTGACAACCCTATTCGCTATTGACACCAAATTTCTTGAAATCTTCATTAAATGTTTTTAGCCACTAAGCAGTAAAAAAACCTCTGAATCTGCTCTAACATTTGGATCCTTGGCCTATTGTAGGAGGTGCCACTGCTGAACTTGCCAACACAAATAGATGGAGATTTGATCAAAGTGGATACAGGCATGGGTACCAAAACTGCAGCAATGGAACAGTCAGTCACTTCCATGGATGGGATGAACGGGGCCGGTTTTGCAGTTGACCACAGACAGTGGGAGGGGGTGAACCAGAGGAGCGGCAGTGGCTTCTACTCTGAGTTTGAGGGCAGAGAATCAGGAGGAGGTGGAGGAATTTATGATGGCATGGCTCTGTCGGACCACTTCCTGGGACAGTACTACAGTCAGGTGAGGAATAATTTTTACCCTTTATTTTCTGTTACCATAGTAGGCTTTTGTTGTCCTGTATATAATTATGATGATGCTTTTCAAATGTTGGGAAAACAAATCAACTGATCGGACACTGCACTGATGAGTAAGATGTTATTTCCTGCATGGAGTATATGGCTCCTGAAAAAATGTAATGTATCTTTTGTATCACAACTTGTGTTCACTATCTTTGGCTTGAGAACATGTGCCATATATGGAAATAGCCAAAAAAACACAAACATTTCAAAATAAAGTCAAATTGCTGAGTAATTTCTTAATTACTACCTTGTTGGACGCTATCGATGGTCACGCCGTTCAACAAAAACTCAAAAGCTTTTGCAATTGAGCATCACTAGTAGGAGTTAATTAAAGAGCAACACCTTTGAATTACAATAACGTTGCCAAAACTGCAGAGTAAATTTAAAATGTTTGACTTCTTGTTGCTCCTCCTTGAACCGTCACCTTACCGTGGTGGAGGAGTTTGAGAGCCATAATGACCCTAGGAGCTATGTTGTCGGGGGCATTTTGCCCCTGGTAGGGTCTCCCAAGGCAGATTGGTCCTAGGTGAAGGGCCAGACGAAGAACGGTTCAGAAGATCCTAATGATGAGTAATACCAAGAACCCGAGTACCCGGCCCGGAGGGACACCGGGGCCCCGCCCTGGAGCCAGGCCTGGGGTTGGGGCCCGTGGGCGAGCACCTGGTGGCCGGGCCTTGGCCCATGGGGCCCGGCCGGGCCCAGCCCGAGCCGGCTACATGGGTTTGTCTCCCAGTGGGCTCACCACCTGCAGGAAGAGTCAGCGGGATCCAGTGCATTGTGGATTGGGCAGCAGACCAAGGCGGGGGCCTTGGCGGTCCGATCCTCGGTTACGGAAACTGGTTTTTGGAACATGGAACGTCACCTCTCTGGCGGGGAAGGAGCAGGAGCTTGTGGAAGAGGTTGAGCGATACCGGCTAGATATAGTCGGCCTCACCTCGACACATAGCGTCGGCTCCGGAACCCAAGTCCTTGAGAGGGGCTGGTCTCTCCTCTTTGCTGGAGTTGCTCCGGGTGAGAGGCGGAGGGCTGGGGTGGGCTTTTTGGTGTCCCCCAGGCTCTCTGCCTGTATGTTGGAGTTTACAGCGGTGGACGAAAGGTTTGCGTCCCTGCGCCTTCGGGTCGGGGATCGGGTTCTGACTGCAGTTCAGACTACCCGCCTTTTTTGGAGTCCTTGGGACGGGTGCTGGAAAGTGCCCCGAAAGGGGACTCCATTGTCCTACTGGGAGACTTCAACGCTCACGTGGGCAATGACAGCGTGACCTGGAAGGGTGTGGTGGGGAGGAACGGCCTGCCCGATCTGAACCCGAGCGGCGTTCAGTTATTGGACTTCTGTGCTAGTCACAGCTTGGCCATAACTAACACCATGTTCAAACATAAGGATGTCCACAGGTGCACTTGGCACCAGGACACCCTAGGTCGCCGGTCTATGATCGACTTTGTAGTCGTATCATCAGACCTGCAGCCACATGTTTTGGACACTCGGGTGAAGAGAGGAGCAGAGTTGTCAACCGACCACCACCTGGTGATGAGGTGGATCAGATGGCGGGGGAAGACGCCGCGCAGACCTGGCAGGCCCAAACGGGTTGTGAGGGTCTGCTGGGAAAACCTGGCGGAAGAACCCGTCAAGATGATTTTCAACGCACACCTCCGGCAGAGTTTCGACCGCGTCCCGAGGGCAGTGGGGGACATTGAGTCCGAATGGGCCTTGTTCCGCTCTGCTATTGTTGAGGCGGCTGTTGCAAGCTGCGGCCGCAAGGTAGCTGGGGCCAGTCGTGGCGGTAACCCCCGTACCCACTGGTGGACACCAGGGGTGGGGGAAGCCGGCCTACAGGGTGTGGTTGGCCTGTGGGTCTCAGGAATCAGCTGACTGGTACCGGCGGGCCAAGCGGAGTGCAGCCGCGGCAGTTGCTGAGGCAAAAACTTGGACGTGGGAGGAGTTCGGTGAGACAATGGAGGAAGACTATCGATCGGCTCCAAAAAGGTTCTGGCAAACCGTCCGGCGCCTCAGGGGGGGAAGGCAGCAACTCGCTCACACTGTTTACAGTGGGGGCGGGGAGCTGCTGACGTCAACTGAGGATATAGTAGGACGGTGGAAGGAATACTTTGAGGAGCTCCTCAATCCCACCAACACGTATTCCGTGGAGGAAACAGAGCCAAGAGACCTGGGGATGGATGATCTAATCTCCGGGGCAGAAGTCGCCGAGGTAGTGAAACAAATGCGCAGTGGCAGAGCCCCGGGGGGGTGATGAGGAGGAAACAGAGCCAAGAGACCTGGGGATGGATGATCTAATCTCCGGGGCAGAAGTCGCCGAGGTAGTGAAACAAATGCGCAGTGGCAGAGCCCCGGGGGGGTGATGAGATCCGCCCTGGGTATCTCAAGGCTCTGGATGTTGTAGGACTGTCTTGGTTGACACGCCTCTGCAACATTGCGTGGACATCGGGGGCAGTGCCTCTGGAATGGCAAACCGGAGTGGTGGCCCCCATCTTTAAGAAGGGTGACCAGAGGGTGTGTTCCAACTACCGGGGAATTACACTCCTCAGCCTCCCTGGTAAGGTCTATGCCAGGGTACTGGAAAAGAGGGTCCGGTCGATAGTTGAACCTCAGATCGAGGAGGAGCAATGTGGTTTTCGTCCTGGGCGTGGAACTGTGGACCAGCTCTTTACCCTCGCTAGGGTGCTGGAGGGAGCATGGGAGTTTGCCAATCCAGTCCACATGTGTTTTGTGGATTTGGAGAAGGCTTACGACCGTGTTCCCAGGGGCTCCCTGTGGGGGGCACTCCGGGAGTATGGGGTGGATGGCCCCTTGTTAGTGGCCATTAAGTCCCTGTACCAAAGGAGTGTGGGTCTGCCCTTTGTCACCGGTTCTGTTCATAACTTTTATGGACAGAATTTCTAGGCGCAGCCGGGTGGTGGACGGGTTTGGGTTCGGTGGCAGGAGGATCTCATCTCTGCTTTTTGCGGATGATGTGGTCCTCCTAGCTTCATCGAGCGCCAACCTTCAGCTCTCGCTTGGGCGGTTCGCGGCCGAATGTGAAACGGCTGGGATGAAGATCAGCACCTCCAAGTCTGAGGCCATGGTCCTCAGCCAGAAACGGGTGGATTGCCCGCTCCGGGTCGGGGGGGAGGCTTTGCCTCAGGTGAAGGAGTATAAGTATCTCGGGATCTTGTTCACGAGTGAGGGTAGGATGAAGCGGGAGATCGACAGGCGGATTGGGGCGGTGTCAGCAGTGATGCGGGTGTTGAATCGGTCCGTTGTGGGGAAGAGGGAGCTAAACCGGAAGGCGAAGCTCTCAATTTTCCGGTCGATCTACATTCCAATCCTCACCTATGGTCATGAGCTTTGAGTAATGACCGAAAGAACGAGATCGCGAGTACAAGCGGCCGAAATGAGTTTCCTCCACAGGGTGGCCGGGCTCAGCCTTAGAGATAGGGTGAGGAGCTCAGTCATCCGGGAGGGACTCGGAGTAGAGCCGCTGCTCCTCCATGGTGAGAGGAGCCAGTTGAGGTGGTTCGGGCATCTGGTGAGGATGCCTCCTGGACGCCTCCCCGGGGAGGTGTTTCGGGCATGTCCAACCGGGAGGAGGCCTCGGGGCCGACCGAGGACACGCTGGAGGGATTATATCTCTTAGCTGGCCTTGGAACGCCTCGGGATTCTCCCGGAGGAACTGGTGGAAGTGGCTGGGGAGAGGGCTGTCTGGACCTCTTTGCTGAGGCTGCTGCCCCCGTGACCCGGATCCGGATAAGCGGGAGACGACGAACGAACGAACTTCTTGTTGGGTTTGGGGTATGCCTCCAAGATGCTTTGTTGTAACTTTTGTAATGTTACATGCACCTACTGAATGTCGTACATGGAGGTGAAACACAGCATGAGGGGCATCTCATTAATATTTTCTAAGGGGCACTATTGAGCCATTTTGCCACACCCATGTGCAAGACATGTAAAACATGTACATTTTCATCATTGATGAGGGTACCAAATTGCCAACACGTCTAGGCCCTCAAAACAACAAATCATTTTTTTAAGGAGAATGATAATAAACAGAGCAGTTCTAATAGGGTCAATGCTCGAGAGGCTCAACTGCAAATTTCTTTGCCTTAACAGTTCAAGAAAAATCCCACTGTAAACTTATCCTTGTCCTGTCACTTACAGCAAAGGGTTTTTTTTATGTTTGACCTTAACTTTTAAGAACTTATTTGAAAGAGCCCTTTAAGCTAACACACTGTGTATTAATGGACTTACCAACATACATGTCTCTGGGGTTTCTACTGACTAATAATGAGATTTTTTAATTAGAATTGTAATGTTATGATTTCAGAGACATTACTACATTCGTTTAATTCCAAAAAAAAATCTATATCATGAATACCAAAAAATGGCTGTGCTTACTCAACAAAAAGAGAAGATTGGTAATATTTAATTTCTTCTTTTCAACAGAAGGTGACCAGTGGCAATGAGAACCTTGGAGTGAAGGACAGTCTTCTGATTCATGACTATGAGGGCCAGGGCTCCTCTGCGGGCTCAGTGGGCTGCTGCAGTCTCCTGGAGTCTGACAATGACCTGCAGTTCCTCAATGACCTCGGACCAAAGTTTAAGACCCTGGCTGAGGTGTGCGGAGGCAAGACGATCCAAACTGAAGTCAAACCAGTGTTCTCCCCTCCGCCCAGTACCACCATCAACACTCCGACCTCAGTGTCAAGTTTGATAACTGCCCCACAGCTGCCCCCTTCACACAAGCTGCAGCCAACTGTCTCAAAAACGGAGCAGACTATGGTCAGGGAGACATCTGAGCATTCTCAGGTGGTGAAGGAAAGTATGACCCCAATGAGAGGAGGGAAAGCAAATCAAGGCCAGATGCTCCTGCTACAGCAGCAGCAGCCTGTGTACTACACCTCCACCCCTGTGCTGCAACCAATGCAATACGTAGTCCAGCCACAGGTTCAGAACACCATGCTGCTGGCTGAGGCACCGGCCACCAACCTGCAGGGCATGGTACTGGTTAACGGCACCCATACTGGACCTGCCCAAGGCGTGGTCATTCAAGGTCAGACAGTGATGGCTGGTGGACAATCCCAAGGTCCCAGCATGGTGCTGGTGGAAAGGAGCGGGATCCAGGGGGACAGTACCAACCTGATCCACACTGGCTCCCAGCCCATGATGGTCATGGAGGGCAAGGTACCTGTAGGGTCAATGAATCTGCTGAAAGGGAGTCAGACCTGCCTCGTGCAGGGAGGTACCCTAAAGCCAGGAGGGCTTTCAGGATCTCAGAGAGTCCTGGTGGTTGGAGCGCCAACAAGCAGCGGAGGGCAGTTGGTCCAGGAAGCACAAGGTCTGTCCAAGATTAATGACATCTCTCGTTCCTCTACCACCACGGTGAGCGCAATCCCCACCTACCACAAGGTGGTGCCAGAGGCCAAAGTAATCCACTGAATGAGAGATTGTTCCTCTAGCCAGGTCCAGGTGGTGATGGGATTGTTGTGGGAGTCAACCAATGCAAGACAGCTAATAGAGAGGGAGCAGTCTCCCCAAATTCCCAACTTGAAATTTGACAATACAGTTTTCAGGAAATTAGCTGGCTCCATCCAAACAGTACCCTCCTAAAGATCTGGGGGTGTCCCAAAGTGGAGTCAACATTACAGTACATGGTCAATAAACAACAAAATGGAATAACAACAATAGTAACAAGCTGGCCCACTGAAACTATCCCAGCTGACCAATCTAGTGACTTTATCTTGCTTTATGTATTAATCCATTTTTTTTTTAACTTTTGCTTGGTCTCTGGAATGTACACAGGATCATTTTCTATAAAATGGATATTCGGCTGTTGAGTAGTTAAATTCAACTTCATGTTATGATGTTTTATATTTTCTCTTAATTGCTTTGTTGTCTTATGTCTTACATGGTTATATGCTATTTGTTTGTTGTCTGTTTTGCATCAATAAAAAACAATAAAATCTTGAGTCTTAAGGTTTTTATAAGACTTAAATGATCATTCTCAAAAATACACTATTCTTACTCTAACCCTTGGTTGGCTAAGCTAGGCTATTAGGCTAAAGGAAAAGAATTCAGACATGGACCTATTAGTCCAATAAATCCATGTTAAGTATGTACTACAAAGGCAAGAAAATAAAAAATGGTCTTAATGACAAGAATAAGAAATAAGGTATAAAGGAGAAGAGTTTGTGAGTGAGGGGGTGAAGTGAATCAGTGGGACTGTAACGGGTGGAGCTGTATCGCCACCTTCACATTAATTAATTCATAGGTACTGATTTGGTGTGTGTGTGGGGTGAAGGGGTCTCACTTGGAGTGAGCCAGTGGTTGTTTTGGGTGCTGCATCAGTTTCTGATCGAATGCAGGTGTATCTGAGAGTCCTCCTGTCTATATAACTACATGGAACAAACACTGCACTCTCTTATTTACTCTTGGTCTCTCTGTATGCAGGTCCCTTCCACACACTGTTGCCTGAAGGCAGTGTTGGCTTCCTACTTCTAAGGCTGAAGAGCAGAAGTGTGTGACAAGCCTGTCCATCGTACGACTATCATGGTCTGAGGAAGCAGAGAGTAGTCCCCAGAGAGTAGGAAATTGACCTTGAGAGATTTTGATTTGTTTCCCTTCACTGATATAACTGAAATCCAGAACCTCCTCCATTAGCTAAGAGTTCTCCTTGATTTTAGGAAAATTTCAAAACAAACTCAAAGCAGGCAAAATGAGGGAGTACCAACAAAAATCTGAAGAAATAAAATTAGGAAAAGTTACACAAAGTGGAAAAAGAGACAGGAGGTAATTTTCGACAAGAAGTCAACACAGGTCCAGAATATGTATATTCTGTGTCCGTCACCATTTCATATTCAGGAAACAGGTGATCAAATGTAAAAGACATTGCTACAAAAGCAAAGGAGGGGAAATTAATGTACTGGCTAATAAATGTACAACTTTGCAATATTTACATTTATGTGATACTGAATGTGAGCAGGGAAGCAATTATCTGAGAGTCCATCAAGCAAGTTATGGATTTGCTATACATGTCGACAAAAAAATACTTGGTGCAAGAGAGTCTCACCAATAACATTTATTTGGAGGAAATTCCAGCAGCACTTAAATGTCTGAACTCTTTGGAACAACATTTATGAAATTGTGTTGTGTCTCTGTGCCTATTCATAGCACAGATGTAACAAATACACTTCCAAGAAATGAATGTGATGACAAAATATGGTATCAATATATCCACACAGATTTGGTCAAAAATGCACTGAGGTATTTGATGACACACAGTAGGTAGTATGGTGATGTCACATTTAATAAAGAGTGGGTAAACTCTTTGAATAAAGCTGATGATGATGAGGAAGAGGAAAATATCAAAGAAAACAGTGCCAGGAAACAGCTGAAAAGAGTGGTGAGAGGTCAAGGTCAAGGAAGGTCAAGCAGAGGAAGATATGACGTATATTAAAGACCAGAGTGGACTTTTGTCAGTTACGTCATTACAACCTCTCAGTATAGGTTCAGAGATAATTGATCAGAATTTTCAGGATATATTGAGTTTGGCACCCAGTGAAGGCAAGACAGTGTAAGACTCAACAAATGAGGCAACTTGCTTACACACACTCCACAATAAAAGAGAGGAAAGAATAATTCTACCTCAATACACACATACTCGATGCAGATTGGGGTATCATTTGGATTATAAAGATTCTGACTCGGCCTATCAATTCCAGTTCAAAACAATTTTCAAATCTGATTATTTGAGGGGCAGTGTCAAAACAGTAGACATGCTTATATCTTAGTGCTTAGCTCTGCTGATTGTAGATGGTCTGTAAGCAGCAAAAATAGTTTATTACAGATGGCATTGCTTTCTGCATGATGTCTCCAGCTGAACCTATAGGGAAAATAAAGGACTACTTTTATCATATAGAATTTCAGCAGCATGGTTCTGCTCATGTGTGCTGTCTTTTTTGGGTTGAAAATGCTCCTTCCTAAGATTGATAAAGAAAGTGATGCTGAAGTAGCACAGTAGATTTAATCCCCCACAACCACCATCCGACAGTATGAGGCAGTAACCCAGTTGGTGTAAATGGGGATGATGAAAATAAAAGTGCAAGAAGAAATTCAAAACTAGGTTGACTGGGCCATAGTGGTCTCTATCCTCTTGAAACCAAGTGGCAATCCATCGTGACGTCACCCATTGGTTTGTGAACTGCCAGAGTCCAAACTATATTTGGACAAGAAGGTGGAGCAGGGGAGGAGTGAGCGGTGGATCTTACCTGTGAACCCAAGGACACTAAGCACACCCATCTTTGATGGCAAACTGACGACAGCTGGCTGTAGATCATATTAACTCTGATACTAATTGGAATGCTGTCTCCCTTTCTCCGGTCAAAACACTTAGGAAGAAAACTAACTTTTGGCATACACATTAAAACTGTGGGATGTTCAGAAAATAAAAAATTACTGGATATCAGGAATCCTCAAGTCTGTTAGTACTAGAGAGCAAGCCATAAATGCAGTGAACCGAAAAACTCATTAAAACTAAATAACCAACAGCAAAGCTGTCAGTGGAAAATTCCCCTTCCACTGACAAATAACGAGAAAATAACAGTAATTTAATACAACTGAATCAAGATGATGCACACTCCTCCTGTGACTGACCCCCCAGCCTGCTTCATCCAAACAGCTATATATATACACACACACAGAAATAAAACTTAACGCAGAAACATTCAAATTCCTGAGATATATTTCAGTGCAATGGAGTCTCAAAAATCATCATTCAATAATGATACAGAAGTTAATACAGAAACTAAGTGCAACAACTAATATTCATGTTTCAGTGCATTTCTGCTCTACCTTTTTTCTACTTTTATCTTTGAGAAACTGGAGAAGGAATGTGATGATTTTCATTTGTTGGGTCTGAGCTTTACCTCATGAGCTGGACACCAAATATGTTGGATTTCGGTTGTCTATCAATTTATTAGCTATCATAAATTAAGAAAATATTAATATTAAAAATATTAAAAACTAATAGGCAAAATAGCAAATAATAACTTAAATAATAACTTTAAAATTAATTAAAGTCCTCGGGGCACCAGCCTAAACTAATAGGCAAAATAGCCAATATGGTTTTAGTCTCAATTTATTACCATTAATCTGGAACTCTGATTAACCATTAGCTTACTAACTATAACCAAATTACCATGTCGACAGTAAGTTAAAGTTGAAGGATTGGAATTCTACCAAGTAGAGGTTGGCAATATTCACGCTTGTGCAACATTAAACACACCAGTAGTTATACTTAAAGACATTTATTTACAATGGAGCAGAGTAAAACACAATGTCTAATCTAGTATATACAGGTGTGTGTAGGTGTATGTGTGTGTGTCTGTGGGGACACAGACAAAGGCAAGATGGCCGATTCAAAGTGATCACTGTGACCACATGACCTGAACAAAGAAGACTACACAGGATGGCGGTAAACACAGAAACTACTCAAAATGGCCCCTGAAACCACCTGGTGTGTGTGGGAGGGAAGGTGTGCGTTTCTTTGTTAGCCTAGCTCATGTAATCTGAAGGTACCAGGTTAGAGGGAGGAGGTTAGCTTCATGCAGGTTCTAGAACTGAGACGTACTACCATGTGTGTTAACATACGAGTACCTGATTAACTGTATGACTGACCACAACCTAAGCAAACATTACAACATCATGACATCAATCAACAAGTAAAGAGTTAAGACTTCTGCTGCTTAGCTATGCTGTGCTGTGCTATGCTATGCCGGGAAAGGTTAGGCCCAGTCAGTTAACGTTACCCAGTCCTTGGAACAAACAAATAGGTCCTTTCCAGTGTTGTTGTAAAGTCCAGTGAGTCGGGAGTCTTCCTGATGGAGTAAAGTCCTGTCTCGCTGTGTTGCTTTGCTGTTATCTCCTTTGTTCTCCTCACAGAGTAAGCTGTTCAGCGCTAACTCTGCTATGACTCCTGTTGCTTGGAAAATCAGCTGGCCTTGTGTCGTAGCTGCTGATTCTGAGTTAATTGCTGGTCGCTGGGGCAGGTCGCTGCTGTTGAGGAGAAGAGTGTTTGCAGGCTGCTGTGAGCAGGCTGGCGAGAGAGCTGGTTTCTCAGGTGGCAAGGATGACCTGGGTTGGGGCCTTGTTGCCCTTTGAGGAGCCGAGAGGAGAGAGCAGGAGCTGCTCTCCAGAGCAAGCCGAGAAGAGAAGAAGGAGATCTCCCTGGGCCAGCTCCCCCTCCCCCTCCTCTCCTCAACCCACTACTTTTAATTCCCATTCACCTCCAGCCCTCCCCTCCCCACCAGTACCACTACCTCCTCTCACCCCCCACTACCCCCATATCCTCACTTCAGTCATCTTCCACCCCGTTCTCCATAACAGTTGATCAGGTGAAGTGTCACCTTAAGAAGATCAAGACAAGGAAGGCCCCAGGCCCGGACAGCATCAGCCCCAGATTACTGAAGGACTGTGCAGATCAGCTCTGTGGTGTGCTCATGGACTTGTTTAATCTGAGCCTGAGCCTAGAGAAAGTACCGGTCCTGTGGAAGACCTCCTGTGTGGTCCCGGTACCTAAAACCCAGCGCCCCAAGGAGCCTAACCAGGCCTGTTGTCTTGACCTCTCACCTGATGAAGACTTTGGAGAGGATCATCCTGAGTCACCTGAGACCACTGGTGAGCACACAGCTGGACCCCCTGCAGTTTGCTTACCGGCCTGGTATTGGGGTGGACAAGGCAGTGATCTACCTACTGCATAGATCACTGCTACACCTGGAGGACAGTGGGAGCACTGTGAGGGTCATGTTTTTTGACTTTTCTAGTGCTTTCAACACGATCCTGCCGCCACTGCTCAGAGTGAAGTTGGAAAGTGTGGGAGTGGACCAATACCTGGCTGCATGGATGACAGACTACCTCACCAACAGACCACAGTATGTGAGGCTTCATCACA